TCTACGTCGCTGCTCAGAAGAATCGGATGGATGTGGCAATAGAAGAACGCGGCGACGTCATCCGTATTCGGGGGATTTCTTCGCTTGCCGAACCCCATAAACATCGGCGTTTCAGTCAGTAGCTTCACTTTGCCAAGATTAACCATTATTACCGTACCACGTTACTACCGAGAGCAAGTTATTTTGGAAACTATGTAACTCGACCACGTGATTTCAGCGACTGTCGATGAAGGTCTGAGCATTTTTTTTTTTTTTTTCCCTTTGTCTTCGCGTCTGGGTAGACCCCGGCTGGGGCGCCACAACTAACTAAGGAAAACTGAACCCGGCCGTTGTACGAGGATAGACCGATGATTCCCACGTTATGGTTTGGAAAGTAATTGTAGCTTTTCCTCGGTTCCGTCGTAATTTACGGGTTCCCCGTCCTCTCCGAGGGTTCGGAAGTAGAGGGCAAGGGAAGCAGCCATCCGCCCAGCCGCACAACAACAACAAGCCGGCGAGCGGCGAGGGGGGAGGGGGTCTCCGATAAATACACACGCTGGCGTAAGCACGGCCTCTTCGCACGGACCGGCAGCCCCCGGCGTACACGCGGCGGCCGCCACTCGGTCGGCCGGCTGGCTGGCTGGGACGGCGACGCCGCGAAATTACGACTCCGGGAAACTCGTCCCGATGGTTAAACCACCTCCTTTCCGGACGCTTTTCGGCGCGCGGACTTTCCTCGAGGCATTCCTGGCGGGTGTGCCCCCTCCCCCCCGGCCTGGCCCGTGTACGTCCTCGCGCCGGAAGACTCTACGACCGGCGCTGAGACACAGCCGGCTCGGGGGCCATCTCCCGGCGGCCCCTCCACGACCGGTCTCGGCTAGGACCGCGTGTCGCAGGCGCGGACGGTGGGGCCGCCCGCCCCTGTTCTTGGAACACGGAACGCGAACCGGCGCTGGATCGTTTCTCGGAGAAAGCCGGCTCCTCCGCGCTCGCTGTGACCTCGCGGGGCGGTCTGGCAACCCGAGATCCTTCTGCGGCAGTTGCAGGTTCGCGGTCAATTTGGAGCTCTACCGGAAGGGGCAAAAGTAAACGCTGGAAACCTGAGCAGTGGGGGCTACCGCTCTCTGGTTTTCTTGCGCTCACTATGATGGATCGACTCGACTCCTCTAAGGACGACTGTAGGCGCTGCTGCCATGGGCCGCACCGAGGGCAAATGTCGCACACGATGCTTGTTGCTTGGGGCATATGTTCGGCAGTCTTACTTGTAATCCGTTCCCGTCATCAGTAACATAATATCCAGGTATTATATTTTCCTTGAGAACAACTGTGGGGAAAAGGGGAGGGGGTGTTGTTTTTCGACGGTCCCGGAACCGCTAGCCATAATGCTGGGCAGGTGGTGCAGGTTATGGCCCGCTTCCCGAGGTTGAGGTCCCTGTTGGGATGCAGACATGCCAACTTCGTGACAGAATAATTGACGTAAGGATCGTATCTTACAGTCGCCTTTCTGTGCGTCACAAACACTTCCAAAGCCTCCACGGAGGTTGTAGAAGAATCAGCACACGTTTCAGTTACTTTTCTCAGCGATTGCACCTGGAACTGATTCTAGCGCTTGTTTTATTTGCGGCGATTCTGTAGGATATCGCCTCTCTGCCATCCGTGTCGAGTAGACCGCGTGTAAATTGACAGAAGTGACACTTGAGGTATGTCGGCGAGGGCAGGGTATTTCAGTATGCACCAGTGGCATACAAGCGGGTTACAAACAAAACAGAAACAACAACAAAAAAAAGAACATCGCACTCGGAATATTTTGGTTTTGTCTTTCGCAAGCGCATCAATCCAGATTTTATTTAACACAATGAAAAAACTTGAAAAAGAAAAGAAAACAGAAACAAAAACAACTTTAACGTGGATTTTACAGGGTACAGATTTTTGAAAAGCATACTTTCCATGCTACCAAATATATAGGTGTAGCTCGTCGGTCCATAACTTTCAATATACTTGCAAACCTCCTCGCTCTCATTCATCTGCTCGATCATAGTGCCAGGTATATTTCTCGTAGGTCCCTTTCTGAATTAGAATATTCCCTGCGCGTGCTGTTTGAAGACTAAATGTATATTCACGCGTTTCTCTTCTGTGGTCTTATGCGAAGGTACAGATGCTTATATTTGCGGGAGCAGTTAATTTTTTTCCTCTAAATTCAGTATATGGAGTGTAAGCTGCCGCGTTCGTATAGTTCCCTTTTGCCTTGTCCTCTGTCAGGGGCGGCAGTATTGACAAATTAACGATATACATAACGGGTGATTAATATGCCGAAAAAAAAAAACACCGAGGGTGAACGAAAATCGAACGCGACTCGATGAAATTCCCACCTTACGTCCTCGTGGTGGAGAAGAATCCGAAGGTGGAACGTGACTCCACCACCGAAGCTTTGAGTCACTACATTTCAAGAGTTTAAAAAGTCCCAGTCACAATGCTCGTGTACCATGCAAAATTCGCGGCAGACATGTTGACAAAATCATTCCTGGACAGGCACTCGGGCATGTTCCCACTGTTCATGCTTGATACGTACGTATGCTTCGAAACGCGTCTAGAAGAGAGGGATTGTGTGTGAGCAGTGTGACAGAATACCGCCATACATCTAGGAAGAAACATGCGCCTGGAGTCGTCTGACTTTTGTGCGGTGTATTAGCGGTGGAAGAGTGGCTTTAAAGAAACACCGCGAAACTATTTAGGCACGTCGAGGTTTTTTCACCGCAACATAATCGCCGTGTGCCCAAAAGAACAAGGAAGTGCGTTTGTGGCTCCAACATTGGCAGCTTCTTCACAGACACCCACTGGCCGAAAATCGGATTTTGAGGTCGGCCACTCTCAAGAACTCTGGAATCGTCTAACCCACACATTCAAAATAAAATGCGGTGGAATTTACAAAACGTAATTTTGACGAACACTACCAAAAAAAAAAAAAAAAAAAACTAAAAATAAACGCGTCGATATAAAGTAACTTTAAGTTATGTAGTCGTGAAGAGCGACTCAATACGTGGCTCAGCTGGGATTGACTCTCAACGACTTCCGCACGCTCCGAGGTGACAGTTCCCCCGAACTGAGCCTCTGATTTTGACTTGTTTTCGTTCATTTCTCTGCAAAAATACGCAACCTTCTGGTGAGCAAAAAAAGAAAAGTGCAAAAAAGGTAAAAGTATATTCTTGCGTTTGGAGCAAAAAATGTAAATTATTTGGGGTACGTATTTGGCGCGGTCGTGATTAAACGGTTTTGCCTAGTGGCATCTTCATGTTTCGTGCAAAGGTAACAAATTTCCAGATACCGACTCCTATAGATTCAAATACAAGGGTTACTCAATGCTGGCGTTAATCTTAACTACTACGTTCGCCCATTGGCTAGTGCGTTACAAATGGAATCCGCCAATGCACTTCACATCAAAGTTAAAGGGTTAGTCCGGCAATTTTTTTAGCCAGCCCAACTGACGATATATTCGGATTCTGCGGCCTATACCGTTTCCCGTACACTATTTAATATTGCGAAATTCAGAGTAGCTATGCCGAAATCGGCAAATGAAAATGATGTTAAAATCAACATTAAAATATACCCGCGCTTTTCAGTGCCACGACGTCAGGGGAAGATAAGCTTGCATGCAGGTCGAACAGACAGTCTAGAAACGAGTATATATATATATATATATATATATATATATATATATATATATATATATATATATATATATATATATATATATATATATATATATATATATATATATATATATATATATATACATATATATATATATATATATATATATATATTTATATATATATATATATATATATATATATATATATATATATATATATAAGCACAGTGAGGACCAAAATTCTAAATTCCAATCCGTCGCAAAAAGAAGAAAAAAAAGACGCACATCTTCGGCACAATATATACATATATATATATATATTGGCCCAATATTTGGTTTACTATTTCAGCGATGTTTGTTTGTGTGTTTAAGACATTCTTAGGCAAATCGGAGATAATGAAGAAAAGGAGTTTAACGTTCCAATTTTCCAACTCTATATCAGGTTCGAGTCGTCGGTAACCGGCGGGAAGCTAAATTAAATGCTGAAGAATTTTTGAGAGTTAACGACTGGGCGGTCAATCCAGTCAATTTATACGATTTCTCCTATTCTTAGGTTTACCTGGTGGGGCTATAACCACTGGAAAACCCGCCATTGAGTCTAGTGGAATCTACTTATTTTGTGAGGCAACCACGCCCCCATTGGCGAGGCCAGCATGCTGTTAAGCGTTACGTAGGAAAAGTATACAGACCACCGCTGGTCTGTTCTCCTAGTTACGAAAATGCGTGTACAAAAGTGTAACGAAAACATGTTACTCAATCCGCTGTCCAAAAAAAAAAAAGAAAGAGAGAGGAAGCTTAACGAGATCATTGCCAGGTTGGTAAGCAACAAGAAGCAAAACACTCAAAAGCGGCGTCACTTCTAGCGGTGTGAGGTCACGTCTCCAAAGTACAGTTCTCAGTACCTATTTGTGAGCCCAAAAAGAATCCAGTGCACTTGGCGAGCGAAACACGATCTACACAAGGCAGTCAGAACAAAAATACACAGATCACCCCGAGTAACAGTGCACAATCGAGTTTCTTCGCCATCGTATGCAGCCCAATATCTGATGCCTCTCCAGGCATAAGAGCGGGCAAATATCCGCCTCGAAGTCATCCATCCGTTCTCGGCAGTGGGGTATCGAAAGAGAAAAGAACCAGGCGCGAGCGATGGAGAGCGCTTGGTTGGCAACGCGCGCGGCCGAACCACGCGTCGCGCGGCACCCCCGTGGCAAATAAAGAAGGCCGGCGTGCATGCACCGCGAGTGCCTAACCCGCGAGTGACCCTTCGGCGTCCAGCCGCGTGTCCACCACCAGACGAGCCTCGCGCGAGCGCCACCGGCACCAGCGGTGAGCAGAGCGCTGATTGACGCGCTGCCCTCTCTTCTTGGCGCAGCGTCCCCATTGGAGGATCCATGACGGGCCGCAGCGTCAGCGGGGTGCAGCGTGCGCATGCGCGGAGGGAAGCGACATCTTTCGGCGGCCACCAGCAGCACTCGCAGCAGTCGCGGCCGAGTCGCAAGCTGAGCAGGATGGACTATTGCGGCGCTGTGGCGCTCGTCTCTGGATGGGCATGCCTGCTCTACTGGAACACGCTCGAGGCGGACTTTGCATACGACGACAGGTGAGCACTCCTTCCTACGCGGCCTTCCTGCACGGGGGGAGGAGAGGGTGAGGAGAGAACAGCCGGCCCAGCTCCGCTGTCTGTCCGCCCGCGATCGCTGTCTGTGTCGGCGACTGTCTCCGTCGAGTGATGTATCTGTCACAACGCGCTGGCTCAGCCTGCGGATGAAACTGGGTTCTGGGGTTGCGTCCGTGTCGCTACGCGGGAGTGCGATTCGTACGCGGAGGGAGGGACGGAGTGCTCGAGGGCGTGTTTGCCTGTCTCCTCCCCCGTTCTATCTCCTGTCTCGGGATGCGTAATGCTGACGGCGCTCAGTGTTGACGTACTCTGAGCGAGGATGCACTCTCTCCTCAAGCTTTACATTCTATAGTTTACGGCGATAGGCTGTTGTCGGCTCTTCCCACCACTGCAAATGGCGTCCCTTGTCGTTGTAGTGGTGGATGGTGTAGTCGGCGTGATAGGGTGTAGAGCGATCGTCGGCAATATTGCCAACTGCTCGAGAGAAGAAGAAAAAAAAGCAAAAGCAGGCCCGGTATTATAAATCTACACCACAGCTTTGAAAATCCGTTTTGTGTACGATACTTGTGGAACAACCGTGTACGTATGAATATCGTGTAGTGCCCTCTAGATGGCCACAGTTGCTGTGGCGTCGCGATAGAAAATTCTTCGTACCTCTTAATTCCACATTTAATTGGAGTTAAATGTTGAAATGGAAAGCTTCGGCTAGGTGGCGCGAGGCGCCTCAAGCCACCGCCCGATTAAAAGGGTTCACCCGTATCCATCCACCGCTACCACCTAGAAGACGGGCCTGCGCATTACGTCATCGTTACTGGGTCCCAACGTTACTAAATTACCTCAGTTGTGGAACTCCCGTGTGGGGGAGTACCCCCTCTCACTCCCTTCAAACCGCCTCCCGTCGTTCAAAGCGCCACCTAGATTTTTGTTTCAGTTCTATAGAGTACGGTGAAACGCCATCTAGACGTGTTTCAAAACATATGCATCCCTCCCAAGGCCGATCACCAGAACAGCTCAAACTGACCACGGATGCACACGCCCGTTCGCCAAGAGCGACGCAGCTGACTTTCACACAAACTGAAAACACGGCGCACCCAGCTTCTATGTTATCCGCTCCCCCCCCCCCCCCCCCCCCCCTTCCCTCCCCGTGAATGAGACTAACAATGACTCCTCTCCCTCTCATATTTTTCTCTCTTTTTCTCCCTGTTTATGAGATACTGCGAACCTTCTCGGTATGGGCGTAGCGCCTGTTTCACATCGACATTACTTTCCCGAGTTAAGTAAATAAACAAACAGAAACGGTGGCTCGTCGACCGACGGGAGGCTAGCCTTGGGCGGAGAAAGGGCTACTGGTCGTGCATGCAGCGTCTGTGGGCAGTTCCGTAACTGAGCTGATTTAGTACGCAAAGAAGTATAAATACCTAGGAGTATAGCTGGATGGGGGAAAACAATACTTGGAAGAACTCGAAGAAAATATGGTAAAGAAGCGAAAAAGGAATGCTGCTATTATGAAGCATAGGGCAACTATGGAATTACGAGTAGATGTGAAGTTGTTGGGGGAATATGGAAACGAGTCATGGTGTTGGGCCTGTCTTTTGGCATTGCGATATTGTGCGTGAAATCTGAGGTCCAGTCGAGTTTAGAGATCCGGCAGAGGAGCGTCCACAGACCGGCACTGGGAATACACCGAATGGAGGAGCGCAGGGAGAAATGGGCTGGGCATCTTTCGAGGTTACAGAGGCGATCAGTAAGTTGAAATGTGAACAAAGGCTGGAGACAATTGAGTATACACGATGGGCGAGAAAGGTGTATAGGCATCTATACGTGAAAAGTATGAAGACTGAATGGACAAACCAAACTCGAGAACTGAAATTTAAATACCAACCTATACCGCTCAGGTAGTCTGCTCTGCTGGGGCAGACCAGACTACCTCTGTGGAAAGAGAAGTAAAAGAAAACGAGAGAAAAATGTGGGAGGAAAGAGTACATGGAAAATCAGCTTTATCTATGCATGGAGACGATAACAAGAAATGAGGAAGGAACATTGGTATGATAATTCGCGGTGAAGCTCGTTGTTATTTGAGGCTAAGAGTATTGACGACTAGGACATATAGGACAAAGTATGAGAAAATGGATATGCGCTGTGCCGTAAACCATGGGGGAGACGAGAGAATAGAACATGTGGTGTTGAGGTGCATAGGGCTTGCTCCCGCCCTTTCGGGGGGAGGGAGGGGGGTGGGGGGCGACGGGTTTGCGGACGAGAATGAAAGAATGGATGATAAGTGCATTTCAATAAGAAAGAGGAGGTTGGAAGATTGGTGAAATTATCTAGGGAGAATTGAGTGACTTACATCCAACACAGGCAGGACAGAGATAAATTGAGACTCCTTCCCGCGTGGCTACGGCCTAAGGTCTTAGCATCGTTTCCTGGTAGGCCCGGTGCTGGGGTAGCGCCGACAAGGTTTAACCAGAGGAAAATTGGCTACTCTTTCGCATGGGAGGGGGGGGGGGGGGGGGGGGAGGAGGAGAAGAGGCGGGGGTCATGTTTTTAGTTTTTTTTTGCCCGATACCCCAATGGTCATCCTGGTCATATCCCACACCGGTGATAGCTACGCAATTTCAGAGCGGAAGCAAATTGGCTTAGAAAGGCGATGAGAGGAATCATACTTATATTTTTTTTATTTAATTTCTACGGTAGGTGGCGCAAGCTACCGCCCGTTATAAAGGGTACAGCCGTTAGCATCCATCCATCCAGAACTGTGAGGTCCGTCAAGATTCCACGGTGCGTGAACGCTACATCGATGCCCGACGACTTCGCCGTGACGTGTAGCAGCTGTCGCTGCGGCTCTAAGTAGTTGTATTGTGATTTAACGCAAGACTCTTTTTTTTTTTTTAATGAAAGATTGGCTAATATGGTTTATAGAGATTTTGTAAAACAGAAATACATTCGACCGTCTCACGCACTATGCTCGCGCTAATCGACTTAGTGATTGATTTTCAGGAGTCATTCACCGTGTTTAGTGTCTCAGCTCTGGAATGGTCATCGGGAGACGTCATTGAAAATCGATATATCAGGCAACGTGTGTTTTCTTTCGTGAAACGAGGTCGGAAGGAACACTACTAACCAGTCTGCGACCTCCACCGCTCATCGGGCCCGTGTACAGGCACGTAGCCAGGGGGAGACCCATGCCCCCCCCACCACCACCACCACAAACACAATCCTGGCTACGTGCCTGCCCGTGTATGAGTATCACCTGTCTCCCGCAAGGCTGCGACCAACTCTGGGGGAATGCGGCAATTCCTCGGGTCCGATCGTTCGCTCGAGCAGGTCCGTGTCTCCGGCGAGTGCTCGTCGCAGTCGATCCGGAAAGCCTTTGGTAACCTCGCTGGGCGACTCGAAGGCCCAGCGCCAGGCCCGCTTCTTTCATACCGACAGGCTCTCGATATAAACAGGGATTCCGCGAGGCAGCATAAAGGCTTCGCGTGAGCAGAGCGCGGCGAGCTACGATTCAGACTGTCAACAAAACAATGAATTTCTTGAGGCTGATGGATGCGGCCTTTGCATGCGCCTCCGACATCTCGGGTATTATCCGGACAGCGGATTTCCGGTTTTTCGCGTCAATAATTGAATTGAAATCGATCCTTACGTTGTTGCGCGGAGGGCGGTTGGTGTGCGTCCCCGTGGAATCCAACCGAGGATTAGCCTCTTCCGCGGGCGTGCCGTCCGACATCTTCCAGCCCCCTCTGCAGATTCCATGGGCGTGAAGGTCATAGGTTTTCGCTAATCATGGATACGTTGGATGTTGCCATGGTTCCAAACCACTCTCCGAACTGCTAACGATTGCCTTTTTTCTTTAAGTTTTTAAAACTGAAGTGAAAAAATAAAAAACGTGATTGTTTTTTTTTTTGTTTTTTTCCGTGATGCAACCCGAAGGAATTTTTTAACTGTTGACAGTCACGTTTCAGATTGTTTGTTCTCTGCATTATAGTAATGGTCGCTTTGTAGTGTCACATCTTGTCCATGTACACTCGCAGCAATTTAGATTATTCTTCCGTGGTAACCTAGGTTGGACTTGGTTGCAGAACTTCTTTTTGAATCGTTGGTGCGTGCCACCTCCTGTTCGTTATTTGTATGGCCGGCTACTTTGGGCGGCAATCATATCTTGTACTGGATGCTTCCATTCGAGGCACAAAGCGTTGATTCGCGAGCGGAGGGACGTCCATTCGAGCTTCCTGGCTGGCATGCACGTAGCCGGGGGGGTGGCCCATGGGTAGGGTGTGTATTTTCCGGTTTTAACCGAAAAACACCGATAAACATCCCTCAGTGACGAAAATACAAAATCGGTTAAAACCGAAAAACACCGGTGGTTGGATATTTTCGCCTCGGTTAAAACCGAAAAACACCGGTCGTTGCATGCTTCCGACCTAACGAAATCCTTTCCTCGTAGAGGTTCGTCCAACGTGTTATCCCCCTCGTGGATCCTGCAATCTTCCAGTCCGCCCTCCTTTCTCGGGGTCAAAAGCGTCTAGCTAATGCAGTGGAAGCTAAGCTCTCACACGCCTTTCCCCCACTGTGTCTACCATTTTGTGGAAAAATTAACGCAGTTGAGGGTACGCTCTCACGTGCCCTTTCCCCATTGTGTCTGGCCAAGTAATGTCAATGCAAGCCATGTATTCAGAGGTTGCTCTGGTTCCTGGAAGACACTGCCAACATCCGTGTCGTACAGGGCTACTGACCTTTCAGAAGTGAGATGCGTTCCTTGTTATTTGTTTAGTTTCCATGGGCTTTTGGGGAAACGGAAAGAGGGTTTTGTTGGCGGGGCTAGTTTTTCGCTGTATATAAAAGAACCGTTCTGTGAAAAAAAGTTGTAGACGTGTTAGAGAAGGCGCGTCCGTCCCGCGTCTGCGGGTTTCCTCAACGTGAGACTTGCTTCCCTTCGTCGTCACGCGGAGTTGAAGGCCACAGGATGTGAAGTAAGCGGAAAG